ATCATCGTGTGTATTCGGGGATGCAGCGGTTGAGGAAATGACCACGGACCACATTGCAGACTGCAGTGCTCCACTGTGGTGTGGGGGGGGGGGAATCTTTCCTCCTGCTTGAGTCAGCTGCACACTTCATTTAGTGAGCATCTGATGTATTATGATCAACCTCGCCAAATGGCTCTCATTCATTCATGTGAGGAAGACTTTAAATGCCAAGCAGCAGTCTTACTGACTCAGTATAGGTGGATGAGAGGCTTGAGCAGGCCACGGAAAAGTACTGTGTGTAATGCGTCGTCGCCATTTCAATTTTAACCTCTTCTACTCCACCCCTCTTTACCAAAGACGCATTTTAGTGGGGGACAGGGGGATCGTTAAGATAACAGGTCAACAGTAGATTCCACATAGAAGTGCTGTACGTCATCCAGAAACTTTTGAACCTGTTGAGTTCAGAACTGTGTGTCAAGTTGTGAGATTTGGTGCTAAATGTAACCATTTTTCTTAAGAATTGATCAAAAATTCCCTGAAAATACCACATTAAGACAACAAGACCTCGAGGAACATCGCAGAAATTTCCAGGCTGTTATTTGGTATCAAAAACTTTTCACAATTGGACATTTCTGCAAGAATTATTCACCGATCAGAGATCACAACAGCAAATTTTATACAGTGACTAAACTGAAATTGTGAACATTTTCTCCGGCTTACAGCCAATCACAGAAGGCATCCAGCTCTGCCCATCAAGCAGACCATCAGCTGCCTGTCTGGCCTCTGGCACATCGCGCACCAGGGAATGCTGGGAAATGGATCCACTTTCTGCCAGTGAAGGGCCATGAAATATTAATCCCCACGTCTTGTTCAGACAGTGAGCAATAGTCTGGCAGCTATGTGGCACGTGTGTGTGTCTGCACACGTATGTAGGACAGTGAAAAGTGGATGGAGAGTGATAATAGTGTGTGTGTAGAGCGAGCCACCACTTTTCACCTCATTTTCACTTTTTCAAGTATGTTCTTGTTTGTCCTCCAAACCAATCGAATGTTTTGCTGACATGTCTGTTCAGTCGAGGGCAGAGGAGGAGTTAGATGGGAAATGTTGCAACAGGGAGGCGAGGTTCCACTCCAGGGACCAGCTGAGGACCAGTGAGATCTCAAACGACTTAATAACTAGATTTGAGAGCTTCTAAAAACTTCTACTAATGATGTTGTGGAGCTCTAACGACAACTGGAAATAAGAATCAAGTGTCAGAATGGCCGCAAGGTTGCTCTTTTGCTCCTTATGTGCATCTGCAATGCACTTCGTGGTGTGAGGTATACTAATGGACTACCAGGGACAATGAAGTGAAAAGATCCTTCAGTAAGCTCGTTAGGATGCAGTGCACGCTGCTGTGACGGGGCCCGAGTCACTGTTCTCTGTTTGAAAGGCTTGACTGCTCGGCTAGCAGATGTGTTCAGCTTGTCAGTCTTACAGTCAGAGACAGTTCAGAGAGGAAACGGCGCTCTGAGAGTCACTTTCCTTTTGCAATATGCTGCATCTTTTTTTTGTATTGTTGCTAGGCAGCCACCGAATGAGTGCTGACGTTAGCTCAACATAAACCATGAACTGTAAGCTACATAATGCTAACAGCTAACAATAGCCTGCAGGTTACTCATTAGCCTCCTGTTTTCTGTTCAGATCTAATATGGTTGATGAAGTCATCGTATTATATCCATTCAGTACTTATTTCTGAGAATTATTTGTATTTTTTTACAACTTACTTGTAGACATTTAATTTGTATTCTACTGTCTGTTCTTTGCTTTTAACCACACATGCTTTTACTATTACTAATGATAGTACCTTTACATTATTCAAGTGTTGAACATGTCCAATTGATCACATTGACCATTTAAAGGGACAGTGTGTCGTATACAGTGACATCTAGTGGTGAGGTTGTAGATTGCAACCTACTGAATACCGCTCTGATCACGGTGGCCTTCAGGTAACGTAACAGCGTGAAAGTCTCTCTCTAGAGACGTGTTTACCGCAATATACAAAGAGTTCCACAAAAAAACCTTCTTTTCTTAGATCAAACAGAGATATAAATAGAGAAAACACAAATCAGAGATAAAGAATAGATACTGCACTTTTAGATAAAAGTGAAGGCTGCTAATGTTGGGACAGAAGACCTGATTCAGGATGACGAGGTAGATTTCAGGATTCCACATTACCTCATGGTGCTTTGAATAAACTCTCATGATAGTGTTAGTTAGCCTGATAGTTTAAACCAGGTTCATTTTACTACTGATGTCAATGTCTTCATTTCAGACACCAGGTGTGTTGTTTCAGTGCATCAGAACAACAACACTGTGCATGGGAAACTTTTATTTCCCCATATTAACCAGAAGTGGTTATCTTATCTTGTACTGCCTGTGTCACGCTGATATACAATTACACAAAGGATCGACTGGAAAAGATGAAAAAGAAGAGCGTAACAATAGCCAAGCTTATTTCAGGGGGATAAGGGTTCGTGTTCTGGCCTGGAATTGAAATCCCTGCTATAATATAATCTTGTCTGGGTGTATAAACAGGAGCACCTCACCGTCTCCTCAGACTTGCAGCTTTCTCCTGGATGTTCGACTGTTTTATAGACTGTTTGTCACCGGGGGGAGTGGGCTGTTTTCTATGACTAATCCTGCTATAAACAGCTCTTGTGACATACCCTCTTTCGGTTACTCTTTGTTGCTCGTATACTGAAATACAACTGTAATAAATCACGGCACATGTGAATTTAGTGTGTTTTACATGTAGATTACAGTGAATCTGTATATTTTAATAAACCCGTTTATATACTCAACACACACGGGGCAATAACAGGAGAGGGAGCATGTTTCCCTTTCAGCACACACACACAGTAATCTATAACTCTCCCTTCATTTGTGTGTTTGTAATAGCTGATAAATGAGGCTGCAGTGATCTGCCTTCAGAGCTCTTCCTCCTTCAGAGCTGCATTCGGGAGAATCGCAGGTTTCAGCAGCATTCACCAGCAACTGTGCAGGGTGACTGTGTGGGTGGAAATATGAAAGGCAGAAATCTAAATGTGTCTGACACAGCGTCCACCGAGCCGCGGTGGATCCCTCTGAGAACTCTGGGTAGCCTGGCTGCAGGTATGAGAACATAATTCAAGGGTGCCTGAAGCATTGCAGACAAATATTACAGAAATAACCCCAGCGGCTGGTCAAAAAAACAAAAACAAAACATTAATATAATGCCAGAAGGTCTAAACAACAACCCCATCATTTCTTCAGTGTTCTTATTTCCATCGTCCGTTACAGATTGATGAGATATTCTCTGTTAGATTTATTTCTTAAGTGACTCCACAGACCCAAGCACAAAGAAAAACGTCACAAACAATATACCCACATTGAGGAAAGGGAGTTTTATGACCAATGTACTGCAGTCGTGTTTTTGCCCATCGGGGGGGGGGCTCCATCAGCTCGAGGGTTAGCGGATCCACAAGAACAGCAGCTAATCAAAACCTTTCATCCTGATGGCGGCTGAGAGGAAGAGGAGCTCTCTTCACTGCCTCTTGCCCCCCCGAGCACCTCAGTCTGATGGGCTCAGTGTTGCCACGCCACCGATCACCTGAAGCTCAATCCGACATTATACCTCAACAGAAGATACCGGGTCCCAACGAAGTTTTAATTAAATCTGAACGTCATCATTCTCAGTCTTATCAGAGCGAAGTGTATTACAGCTCGACACATCCCTCACCGTTTGCTTTTCTTCAGCTGCCTGTTATCAGCCTTTAGAGATGATAACTGACTGAGACCGTTTGTTAAATTATTCATTCAGGGAGCACAATTCATCCTCTCAGCAATAACGTGTTTAACATTCATACACATTCACAGCAGCACCGCTCTGATAGAGCCAACCGATAACATGATGTAGCTGGAGTACACAGGAAGGGTCAAAGGTTATCCAGTTATTAGGCATTATGTACATCTTGGAACACTAACACAACTGTCGTTTGAAGTAATAACACTCCATTTGGGGCAACAAAAAAAGAGATCTCGATGCACCCATTTAAGAACCCGTCTGCACATTTGTTTTATGTTCGGTCGCTAGTCCAATAAAGCAAAACATCAGCTGGTTGTGTATGGAGTCAGTTCGGGTTCATTGCTTCCATAATCGGGCTAAAAGATCAGTATGATGTGCCTCTTCCTTTAGCTCAAAAGCACATTAAACCATATGTAGAACATTTTTAGTGCATTACAAATTTAAGGTTGTATTACTCATATATTTGTTACTTTCATGATAGCAGCAAAGTTGATTTATACTTTTCCTCGCTGAAAGACATTACACGACGGCAAGCCTTTTTACTATTGATCAAACTGTTACACTATGCAAGTGTTAAATAGTTCCTCTTTGAATCGATCGCAATAATTTAAAGGGACAGTGTAGGATTTAGTGACATCTAGCGGTGAGGCTGCAGATCACAACCAACTGAACAACCCTCCTCTCACTCTTTCCTTGCCAAGCATGTCGGAGAACTACGGTGGCCTTAATGTGACCAAAAAAAAGCGTCAAAGCATTCTCTGTCTAGATCCAGTGTTTGGTTTGTCCTTTCTGGGCTACTGTAGAAATATGGCTGACTAAGTGAAGAGGACCTGCTCCCTATGTAGATATTAAGGGCTCATTTTAAAGTAAAGAAAACAACGATTTCTGCAAACAGTTTCCTCTAAAATCCTACAAACTGGTCCACTAAATCTTTGATAAAGGTTGTAATATTTAACAGAAGTAGCTCTTTTTGCATCCTGGGTTTAAATGCAGAAATTTAAATTATGCAAATCTGTTAAGTGTCAACTGAACTCAGGTCTGAAGTTAGTTTGGTCCTAAATTAAGACTTTTAAAATAGTTGTGCTTTAAGAGCAAATAATGTGATCAACCAAATACAAGAGCATGCCACACAAAGTTAACTCTAAAGATGCAGATATCTTGAGATTGTTTCTTTGTAAATGATGAGTTCACAACATGAGTTTAAATAACATTTACTTGCTCACGTCACACACTCGCACGTACAGAGACAACTATGGAGGTACAGAGGAGAAGATGGCAGTTCACAATGAATGATCATCATACAGCACGGCTGCATCTCTTGGTCCGTACACAACACGAGCCGTCGGCTGTGGCGTCACATCAGTTGTCCAAGCATACAGGCAAAAACACGAGGAGCAGCAAATCCATTCAAAACACCAGACCAGAGGCAGGTATGATTAAAGAAAACAAAAACGGTTTGGACTCAGGAAAAATGATCAAGCTCAACTATTTACACGGCAAAGAACACAGAAACGGTAAATGTAGATGGAAGCCAACACAGGGCAGGATGAGATCACAGAGAACACTCACGGCTCAAGTGTAGCTGCATTTCCTAGCAGACGTCAGAGGTAATGGGTTTTCACAATCAAACTGTCAACCAGATAATAAGAAAAAAGAAAAATGTCACCGACCAATCACCTGCCACTAGTACTTCCCCAGACTCCAGAGATGGCACATGTCCACCACCCGACCCCCACCAGTCAGGTGAGGCGTTTGGACCTCAAGACATTCAAAAATTTAAACTTAGCAAACAGAACTCACATAAACACAGAAAATATTCAACTCCTGAACATCTGAGTGAGAGGAGGCATTTTACAAAGAGGTGAGAACAGATTAGGATCGTGACCTCCAAGTGCATCACTTAACAACCAGTGTAGAAGAACCGCCTCCGCGAACAAGCTGGAGGGTGTGGATCAAAAGACAAACGACGTGGAAAAGGTAAGAGTGGTAGAAAGCTTCATGATACACAGCCAGGGACATACAGCCGTCATTGGTGGATGGAAAGCTGCATGTCAAGCAATGAGGAGAGGCCATACAGCTAAATTAACAACCCTGTGTAAAAGGGGGGGGGAGAGAGACACCAGAACACCATCTCATTATACAAACTACCGAACTTTTTACATGAATTAGGAGGGCCATTTAAAAAAGTAGAGCCTTTAAAGTAAAGCTTGTTTTTAACACTATGCCTGAAGTTGTCGACAGCATCACTTTAGTGGGACATCAAACATTATAGAAGCAGCCTACGGCTGCTATTGAAATGTGGCCAAACTATCCGTAGCTCTGCTGATACACCACTCAACACAGGAATATTAAAAAAAAAAAAAAAAAAAAGGCTTAAGAGGAAATACTTCATCTGCTTATTAACCATTTTTTTCTCACTGTACAAGTTTTTCAACAGGAAATGAAAAGGGCAAATAAAATTAAAAAAAATAAAAATTAAAAAAAATTAAAAAAAAGTAAAAACTTAATTTACCAACACACTAAAATCATATATACACACACACACACACACACACACACACACGACAGAAAAAAAATACAACCACCAAGAATTCCAATGGAGTGACAACTGTCCAGATAGCAACAGGCTGTGCTCCGCGGCACCCCCCAGGGGTCACTACCAGGAGTACACATACCAATCCAAGGACCACCATGCCATGCAGTTCATTGGAAGAGACCAGAGATGATGCCATTGTGTCCTGGCTGTTGGAAGGCTACTCATCCGGCTGCAGTTAGAATATACGCTTTCGCTTAAGGTAGGAGTCCGCGTAGTGACCACCGAGGCCCTGGGAGTGCTGGCCCACATAGCCTCCCTCGGGGCTCGGCTCCGGGGACGGGATCAGCCGGTTGAACAAACGCTTGTGGCTACCGATGGGAGTCTAAAAGAAGATTTATAAAATCAATAAAGAGCAGCTTGGTCGAAAAATGGATACATAAATTAAGACCAACAATAAAAAAGGGCAAAGACATGAAAGTGTTTAAATTACCTTCACAGCATTCCCCAGGCCTGGTGGGTAGTTGGGGGTGTGGCTCACAGGAGGCATTCCCACAGCCTGAGGACGGACAAACAACCCTCAGTAACCTACACTTCTACTGAAGCACAACATTAACTATTGAACAGGGGCCTTTCCTTGGAACCCAATCCAACCATTATAGTTTGAAACCAAACCAGGTCATTTTAAAAAGAAATGGAGTCCAAAGCTTTAGGCTTACCCGGTTGAGATGGGTGGTAGCGAGGCCACCGTTACTGGAGGCCTCGGGCTCTGAGCTGAAGTAGGAGGACATGGGTTCACTGGGAGGGTAACTGTAGCTGGGGAAACGCTCACTGTAGTCGGGCTGACGAGAGAGCTGCAGAGACAAACTGTGTAACTATAGAGCAGCACAAGTGTGATCCAATAACATTAAAAAAAAATAAATAAATAAAAATATGCCCACACTACCTGCTGACCGAATCCTGCCAGGGATTCAGCACTAAGGTTCTCCTGCTGCTCATACAAGTGGACCAGAGGATCCTGAGGAGAAACACCAGATGGGCATCAGACCAGTTCACATCATACAGGCTCCTGAATGAGCAGCCACTCATTACAATGCAGATTCATCTAGTGACACAGCAGCTAGTCAGGTTAAATACATATATGGACAAAGCAGCGGAAACGTGGCGGTTACCTGGTGTAGAGGAGGATATTCTGGGCTGTAGGAATCCTGGTAGCGCAGGTTGTAGTTGGCCTGAATGCTCTGGTGCGTGTGCTGGTTAGACACATTACTTAGTGTGGGCCTCTTTTTGTAGGGGTGAGGTCTGCAGCTTCCTCCTGTAGTAGTGCAGATATGCTGAAATGTATTAACCCGATCTGATGCACCAAACAACAGACTGCCAAGTCAGAAAATCAGAACCCCAACGTGCAAACAGAAAAAAAGCACTTCACCTGAGGGGAAAACATTGTCGACACCGATGAAGGCACTCCGAGGATGGTTCCCATCTTTGGGAGGATCTCCCAGTATGGATGCCTGACAGGAGGGGGAAAGGTGAGTCATTCTTACTATTTACACTCTGGCAGAAAACATTATGGAAATGACTCAGGGCCCTCACCCCCTGCGCTGTGAGGCCATCTGCCCCCATCATGCCACCCATCAGGGGCATGGAGAGGCCCTGCAGAGCAGGAGAGGAAGTCTGGGGGAAGGAGCACATCACTGTGGGAGACTCCTGCTCCCTCAGCGCTCTGCCAAGTTGCATTGGCTTTAGTGGGGCCAAGGGATCAAGACCCGGGACTACACCACCTAGAGGAAATAGATAGAGGCCCGATTGTAAATTACAAACCGATGTTTCACCTCTTGTTCACATAAAATCAGTGAGTCAGATTTGCAGTAAATCAGCAAAGTTCCTTTAACTCACATATACAACCGAATCAAGTTAATATCAATATTTAAGCAGTATGGAATGCTACATAACATTAAGACTCATCTAGCGCCATGACCAAAATATCTTGACCAACGTAAAGAGGAGAAACCGGGATTAACACAGATGTTTAGCCTCATAGGCAAAGCAAAAACATGCAGTCTGTGGCTCGAGGAGCGACGGCTGGAATCGGCGGATGCCAAACCTTGGGGCAGGTCTCCGAGCAGATGGACTCCCTGCTGGACAGCCAGAGGATTCTCCCCGATGAGTCCTGCCTGCTGGCCAAAGGAGAGAGCAGAGTTCAGTGTCACTAGAGGGTCACACTGCCTGGCTGCTACACTCCAGCGGTTAAGAAACGGCTGCACTACACCGGCACGCTTAGTCAGCACCGAGGATTACTCACCACGTATGAAATTATGTCCTTACAGAGTGGGTATTTACACTGTTCTGTGCACAATGGAGCACACCTACTACATCACTCAGCACCACTCAAAAGTACAGCCCACACAGAAACAAGTTTCCTAGCCAGAGCTTACCCACCCAGGCGTTGCGTTTTCTATCACAAAAAAAAAAAAAAAAAACTAGTCTTAACCAGCACCTCACACAGCGATAGCGATAGACACACACACACACACACACCACCGTCACTCACACAAGGCACTAGAGGGTTTTCTTTATTGCGCAGCACCTGAGCCCACAGAAGATGATTTCCCAGAAAGGCTTGCTGATGGTAAAGAGGAGAGTGGAGGGGAAAAAAAGGATGGATGAAAACAGGCAGGGCAGCAAAGGAGGCACGTGTGTGTGTGTGTGTGTGAGAGTGAGTGAGTGAGTGAGTGAGTGAGTGAGTGAGTGAGTGAGTGAGTGAGGAAAGGCAGCAGTACCTGCTGGGCCTTGGCCTGGTTCTGAAGGAGCAGTTGCAGCAGGGCGGCGGAGAGGGCGGGGTTGGCCAGCAGGGGCATCGTAGGGGCTGCCCCGAGGAGGCCTGCACACAAAAGGGGACATCAGGACCCACAGCGCCAGAACTAACCCTACAACAGAGGCATTAATTAAGAGCTAGTGAGGACTCCTCACCTTGTTTGGGTCCCTGTGACAGTGGGTTGAGGAGCATCTTGAGGGTGGCGGGGTTGTTGAGGCCTGTGAGAATCTGCATGGCTGTAGGGTCGGGGAGGAGACCTTTACCCCTGTTGACAGCCTTGAAGGGAGAGGACACAAGTCAGGCAATCGGCACAAGAGCTAACGGCTAACTCAACAGCAGCTACGGACATGTGGATGCAGGAAATCTTTCTGATTTACATACCATGGTTTGGGCAGCAATCAGAGCAGCCAACATGCTTCTTCCAGGAGGGCCGGGGGCACAGAAGGACACCCTGATGTGCGTCCCGCCCAGCAACCTGCCGTCCGCGAGTCGCTGAGCGTCCTCGGCCATCTCAGCGGAGGCAAACTCCAACACGGTAAACCGCCGGAAACTCGCATCTTGTCCCTGAGCCAACTGTGGAGAGGAATAATAAAAAAAAACGGACACGCAGTTAGCCAAAGTTCTGCTACTAAATACAAGAAGGACTGTCCTGAATACATTTTCTTTGGCTCCGGAGCTCCAGTAGTAATCAACAGCGAATATTCAAAGCTGTGATCGAGATGCTCAGTTTGGCTGCTGTATCTGCACCTCTCTGCCCGGCTGCAGGCCTGTGCGTAATGAGGCTGCGTTACCAGTCGACTAACACTTTTGTCCATTAATCAATTAGTTGAATTAAAATTGACAGATCTGTAAAACTGAGTTTCTCTACAAAGAGTAACACAAAAGCAAGATTTTAACAGTTGTGAGCATACGTTTTGGGAAAAATGTCATCAGGGCTTGAAAAAGCATTAAAAAAAACAAAAAACTAAAGAGATATTTTGTTGATGATCTAAATGCACATTAATGTCGGAAATACTCCCCAACACACCTGAAATGTATTTTTCTTGTTCATTTATAATTAAGTGACTAAAGCCATGTTCTAGCATGGACGGGTTCTCATATAGCAGAGTCACATTTAAGACTGTTTACTGTTACCGTTTTATTCCTGGTCAGAGGAGTTCCAGATCAAATCTAAAAACGTTGTTAACATAACCATCTGTTGAATCTTTACAACAAATACTCATTATATATTGAATTTCCTTTTCAGTCGCTACATGTGATCTCATGATTTAATACCTTCAGGTTTTATTAGCTCATAACCAGACCATCTAGTGAACACTAGAGCTGGTTCCTTAAATCATCACGTGACTCTAAATCGTCACTACAATCCTAAAAAAACCTGGAACCAGCAGAAAAAGCACTACACTCGCTGTGCTAAAGAGGAACCCCCCCCCTCTCTGGTTCCAGAAAAGCCTTCTGAATGACACCACCTGGGGGAGTCAGGTGGTCATCACCATGGAAACGAGCAATGCTCATCACTATAGAAACTTTGAGTGGCCACAGGAAAGACCGGGGTAGAGGTGAAATGGTTCAACCCTTCAGAGGTGATCCTACAACTTCCAGATACACACAAACCAACACCACAAACGTGGTGGGGTTTTGGTATAAACCGGTGTTGTATTCATTATTCTTGCTGTAAAATGCATCCTTCTGAAATCGCAGTAATGTGGTGGATCTGACCTGGCAGAAGACGGGCGTATGGGTGTCAGCCAGGGCGTTGCGGAGGTCTTGGGCGGTCTGCAGGCTCGGGGGCAGGCGGTCAGCACACAGGCATTTAGAGTGCAGGAGCGGATACGTGAGGGAGCCCACCTCGGTCCAGTGGACGTACAGCATGCGGGAGCCAAGCTGCTTTCCCAACAGCTCCGACTTGGCCCGGGCAGCAGAGTCCTTCTTCATGTACTCCACGAAACCGTAGCCCTTGGAGTGGCCCGTGGAGGCGCTGTACACCAGGAAGCAGCGCTCCAGGTTACCGAAGGGACGCACCAGCTCCTCGAACTGCTGCTGGGTGAAAGCGCGGGGCAGGTTGGCGATGCACAGCAGGGCGTCTGTCGGCTGCAGCTGCACGGAGATCTCCCGGTCCCGCAGCACATGCTGGTGGAAGTCTTTGATGGCACACTGCGCCTGTTCTCCATTGAGCAGTGTCACAAAGGCTGGGGGGGGGAAGAGAGGCAATAAACACAATATGGTGTGAAGTGAGGGAGTGACATTTGATAAGTCAGCGTTAAAGTCATGATGGGAAACCCTTTTAGATCACATCCCGATCATCGAGTAACTATTTAACAATATAAGTTCACCAAAAAAATATTGATTTTTGTATGAAATTATCTTCTAAGCCCGCCCACTTTTTAGCGGACCAATCAAATGCAAAGGACTTAAAACCCTCTTGTAACTCATGCACAGCAGGTCTCGGGAAGGTAAACGTGGCAGTGACACCATTTTTCTGATGAAAGTCAATGCTGGTGGCACAATGTCAACACACACCAGCTGTCTGTCAACGCAACATTTCCCCGAACAGACTACAATGTCTGTCACACCAATCAAAGGCGTTTTACCTGACTAACACATCTAAATATCACAACAGTATGGTAGATACCAGGCATATCCTCAAGTTAACATATGGCTCTCGCAATTTTCTGGCCCATTATTATCTGCCACTACGCGGCCGTTTCTGTTTTAGCTTTTAATGTCAGTTATTTTTGTCAAATTGTCTTTTCAGACTTCTAATGGCATGCTGTAGCAAATAGTGAACGGCTCTAAATACAGTCAACCAACGTTATTTATGAGACTATCAAGTTTATAGATCATCTGTGAGATCTTTCACTCCTTTAAACTAGACACGTGATGTCTAACATGGTGGACAAGCAGTTAGACCAACCTGTGCCCTTGTATTTGTCAACAAAGCAGTACTTCAAGTCATAGTTGCCCAGCAGCTCATGGACCTCCTGTATATAGAGAAAGAAAAGCAACATCATTACATTCAGACATTTAAATTATTACAGCACGCTAACCAGGGTATCCACATAAAACATCCGACTTGGCCATCATATAAATGTAGACTGCTTAATTGTATATTTTTGTCATCCCATGATTAACTCATTCATGTCCACTGGGCAACAAGTTGCACCTGTGAGGGGTTGAGAGGTTAACAACCGACTCATTGTTGTTGGAGAGATTGCTCTGCGCTGCTTTTAACCATTCACAAACGAAACGGCGACGCCGTCTAGCATTTTCCGAAACGTTTTTTGTCTGCACACCTTCCACCTTTTGTTGTACTGCAACTGACATCTCGAACTCCCACTGCCCCCCCTCCCCTCAGTGAACAATGGTACCGCCCGCAGGCCAACCGCTCCCCACGAGTCAGGCACGTTCCAAAAAAAAAAAAA